ATGTGTGAAAGAAAAGTATAAACTTAATATAAATATTTTTCCAAAAGTAGAACTTACTGTATAGCAACAAATACTCCTCTGTGAACAGTGACTGCATGACCTATCTTAATAGTTTAATTTAATAAATCACACATGGGTTTCACACATGTTTTGGCAATTTACAATCCAATTTTCAAATACTCAATCACTTATTTATTATGTAATAAGTTAGGAATGCCACTGTATCCTTCTCATGAGAAGAAGTAGTAATAAAGTAAGAAGTTAAAGGTTTTAATAATCTTTAAGCAGGTATCTTAAGATAACCATTCTGATATGGTTAGTTAACCTCACACCAGATGTTGTGATTTCATGTTTTCAACAAATAATACAGACACAGGTCTTTACTTGTCACTGGTTCCCCATCACAGGATCCACTAGAGACTTAAGCATCCAAAAAATGACCAGTGCTAACTGAAGTAACACTTACACTAATGTAAATCCTAACCTCTATGGTTTGTTCAGATCATTCCACAAGTCTTCTACCAGACTGCCCATCATGATGTATGCAGGTAGAGGTTGACTAGGGGAATACCCCTCCCTTGCAGCTGTCTTCTTGAAGTGTCATAAGCCACAAGTTTGCAAATCATGTATGCAACAATTGCCCCACAAACAGTTGTAGCGAAAGTGAGAGAATGCTGATTCGCCATTCATGACACGCAAGACAGCATCCGTGAAGAGACAGAGCAGATTTGAGAATATGCGACACCAGACTGGAAAACTAAATTCAGCTACTATTCCATTCCTTCGCGTACTGATCGTACAAAGAATCCACATTTAAAAAACGTCTCTTTAAAAAACGTTCAATACCAAATTCCAATGAATTCTTAAATACAGAAACTATTCAAAGTATTAAATGTCTCATCTTTGCAAAGCTCCCAAGATGGGAAGAAAGATGTGTTCTTCTGACCTTGAGGGGGGGGGGGGTTCCCATTTACCTTTTAATCTCAGTGAGTCATCTGGGCCATCTTATAATGGCCGTGATGGCTTTAAAATGGGCAACAGACATGAATTGTGACCAAGGGGACATCAGGAACTCATATAAACAGTATACTGCATCATACCAAAGTGCTGTAAGCAAACGTCTATGCTCTTCTTGGAAACATGTGTTTAGGAATCCTAGTATGCAAAATAATATCCTTAAGGAAACTGGCAGCCCTTCAAAAAGTTAGGCTTACGATACAAAGAAGGATACATAAGCTACCGTACGAGCTGAATCGTAGTTAAGACTGCTTAGACAAACCTGCAAAATATGAATACCTCAGAGAGCTGGAGAGGGTGTTAAGAAAGGCACCATCTAATGGCTTGCTCATAGATGCCATGCACATATTCTGCACTCTCGAAGGCAGCGTTCACATTTTTTGACCTTGATGAATTATCTGTTTTCATTGACAGCACTTATTGATATTTCTTAAAAGCGCAGGCTAATGGAGTTCTATTGAGATGACTAAATGAGTTGCTGGTGCCCAGATTAGCCTGGTCTCATCTCGCCGGCACAGCTTGCATTATCATACAGAACAGACGCATGCGTGCGTTGAGTCCCAAATTCCTGCAACTGACATCTCCAGGGGAACAGAGGAGCGATGACTACATCCGACCTACATTCACCCCACCCAGGCATGCTTGCTTCCAACTAATTACACACACAAGCATGCATAACTCAGTCACACTATAGGTGGATCATAGTCACAATGCTGGGAAAACATTACTACTGCATGCATATTAAAGAAATATACAATTTCAATTAGGTGTATATGCCCAACTCTGAGGGTTTTATCGTCCAAAAAACTCCAACGACTGTACAAGCCCCTGATGATTGGGAGAGAAACTTGTCCCAGGTTTCTGCACAGGCTTAGATGAAAATATCATTTGGGTGATGGGTTGTGAAAATTCTTCAAGAACAAAAACATTAGGAACAAACCTAAGGCTACTGGAGCTCATTCAAATGCCCCAGGCATAGAAACAGCATTACTGGATTTCATTCATGTCTTATTAAATGAAATGATTTTATATATATACTCCATACAATTTATTTTTGTTGTTTAGATTCTCAGAAAAAAACTACGGCAGGGAAAACACCGTATTAACAAGAACTGAGAAAAAGATTGTGACGCAGGCTCTAGCCTATGAGCACATCTACAAACCGCTTTTTTCAGTGTTTCCTGTGCTGTACAGCATCCTGGTTAGAGTGATGTGGTTTTTCACACTTTTAAATGTGAGGGGTATTTCTACAGTTGCAGCCCACATTTAGGCCAGAATCTGTTGATCTATGTGAGGCTTTACTAAACTAGAAAGTACTTGAAGAGCGTCAGTCTCCACCAACGCTGACTAATTCTATAACTTGTGCTTGTAGCCAAGACATCATTCCAGTCAAATCTGTATTACACCTGACACTGAAAATAAACCCTTTCCATTTCAGCATTATATAATGATGTTGGTTTCATCTCTGTGGATACAAAACAACAACAATTTAATGGTAGAAATGGCAAGAAATCTGTAATCAATTGTTCTTTATTCCAAGGCTTGTCGGTCCACCAAATTTCATCTATAAAAAAAAACATAACAGCCTTGACAGAAGTAATTAATGGATAAATATATTGAATACTATGCATTATGTACTTTGAACTCACTGGAAAGTAGTGTTGATACTGAGTGAATTATCCTAGTGAAATAATGTTTAATAATTCACGAACCCTTTCCGCAACCACCTCATACCAAAAACTGTACTGTAATATTACAGATGATGCAACCTTTATGAATTCTGCAACATTTAAATTGTTTTTGCTCTGAACTAAAACTTACAACCCTGGATAAAATGCTTTGCTGGGTAATGTTGTGAATTTAAAGAAAACATCTTTCATGATCTCACATTGCTTAAAATTGCATGCTTACTTCCAATATTGGAAATTTGCCTTGGTCAGTTAATCCCAAAGAGGATTGAATCCATTCGCTGGTTAGCTACCAAATAGGCTGCAGTCAGACGTTTGCACAGAGAAAAATCCAAAAGATTTAGTACAGCAGCTGCATTTTAGCCACATTTTCAAAAATAGCTCTAGATATAGATCTCTTTCAGATATATATAGATAACTTTTGAAAATTTGAAAAACCTGGTATCAATTAGGATTCAAAAACATTTCTAAATCTTGAATACCATTTATCATTTTTAAGCATTCAAAATCATTAGTTAATAATAGCCATATATACACAAGTGTTTCCTGAACATCCTTAAATCAGCACCTGAATTCATGATAAAGCCACACTTGACAAAATAACCAAAAGCACATTAACAGTCACACACAATAGCCATGCTTTGGTGAATTGATATCATGAAGTCCTTCCCGCTGTATCTACAGTGGGACTGTAACTCGGTGGGTAGAGCAAAGCTTCAACCCTGCCAACAGTACCAATTTGATTCCCACTGAGGCCACCCACTCTAAAATGTATAAAAAGTGTATGCAAGTGTTGACTAAATGTTGTCTCTTATCTACAGTTATTTTAGTTGGGCAAGTCAGTCACACCCTTATATTTCCAACCAATATTCTGTCTGTGGATGTCCATAAGACTTAACCAAGTCTATTTAAACCTACCTGAATGAGGATTCACTCATAGTTGCTTTCTAGTCGCATAGAAATATTAACAGTTTAAAGGCTCTAAATGGATACAGAATCAGCATAGAGGGCTGCATGCTTTGAAGAGTCTGCAACCGGATTTTATCAACCTCAACGCAGCAAAAAAAGATAGTGGAAAATACTGCTGCAACCTTGTAACCATGTCTGGAGAGACAGATCTTTAGTGTGCAATGAATGGTTAAATTCAATGCCAAATAAGGTAGGCGGTATACAAAATGCAGTGTTGACCTCAGTGTCGAGTGAAAATGGCTGTAACTCAACGCAGGAATACACGCAGACTGACGGCACGTGTGCTGCTGTGCTGCTGACAACTAAATAAGGGATGATGAAGGTAAAAGAGGAAACAAAGGTTGCAAAATAAAAATTCATTTCCTCACAAAAGGCCTTGCCACAAAAGCTAAAAATCAATCCATTTACAATAACACATGCTTTGTCATCTCCCCCTCACCTACACACATATACACACACACCTCCATGCAGCCTGTGCACACGCCAGATCTTGTCGCCGCAGGAAATGGGCTTCATACATCTTGTCTGACTGCAATAAAGCAGTGCCTAAGATTCTATTTCCAATAAACGTCGACTGATTGGAAAACTCATTCTAATATCAATTTCCATCTGGGCCCTTTAAAAGGCAATCAGCATAGCTTCATCTCGGTATATCATGGGCTCCTTGAGATGATGACACAGCACTGGCTCTCTCCTTCTGCATAATGGCCTTCTCCTATCAAGGCATCTGCAATGAATAATACCACCCATGAATGGGCTATTTAGTCTGTGTTCGCACAGATAGGGGCCACTTCTCTGAATATTAATCCAGGGTTTTACACTTCATATGGTTCTCTCAGGGCTGCACCATTTTTCATTCGGTGGAGTAAGGCACTTAGTGTGATTTGGCACACTCATAGTTTCTCTCTAAGCTTTCTCAAAAGTGACAATGGTGATTACCAATGGCATCTCGCTTTGTTTAAGATGCCCAGCCACCACAAAACAATGATTTAAGTCAAGGAATATCAATTTCAACTCTTCCACAAATGCTGTCCACAGCTGACTATAAACTCTATGGTCAAACAAGAATTTCCATTAGGGAATAAACTGATTTAAGTTACTCTATGTCCACTGCCAAAACCAAACGGACATCTAATTTCAACTTTCAATAGCACTAAAATAATGCATTATATTCGATATGACGTAAAATCAGAGACTCTCTTAAAATCAGAAGCCTGACTATAACCAGAACAAAACTCTATCATCAGTTTCATGATGGTAACACACTTTGTGTGTAGCGTCTGCTACACTGGCTTAAAACAAAGGCCAGTTGTGCCTTCTTCTCACCTTCCAGCCACTGCCCGCCTCCCGGTAGTAGGGAAAGTTATCACAGATCCACTGGTAGATCTCACTCAGTGTCATCTTCTTCTTTGGCGAGCTGTTGATGGCAAACGTGATGAGGCTGGCGTAGCTGTAGGGCGGTTTGCCGTCTTTGTGCTGCTGCACCTCTTCCTGGTCCAACGTGGTGTTAGGATCCAGTAGGGCACTCTTCTTGCCCATGCCTGGCCCGTGGGCATTCTGGGCGTCCGCCTTGCGGATGGCCGCCTGCATGGTCAGCTGAGGAAGCCAATCCATGGAGGTCAGGCTGCTCTCCAGCTCCGACGTCATGGTGACGGCAGGCTGGGCAGGAGGGGGGGGGATGGGGAACAGGTGGAGGTGGCGGTGGTTGCAGTTGGAGCTCGGTGACTGATGGAGAGCAGACCAGGTGTGGAATAACAAACGGAGACGAGTGACAGGTAGAGGATAAAGTCTCCCTCAGCTCAAGACATCAGCGTAACTTCTTCTGCAGGTCAACTCTGGAGAAACAGGAAAGAGATATGGCTTTATTATTCAACTTGTCACAAGGAGCAGGCAAACACTGGAGATAAAATGTATGCATTTCAGCAATATCGCAGAGAACCAAAAGAAATGTAAGCGAAGACACAACTCTGAACCGTTTGCCCAACATCAAAAACCAAGTGTCTCTGTAAAGTATGCTTATATTCGCTGTGCTGAGATCACAAGCCCACCACTTTCTCCACCACTTGCTGCTCTCAAAGCTGACTCATAGCTAGGACTCCATCTGCACAGAGAGAGAGTAAATGCCAGGCAATTGTTTTCACAACTGCCAGCCAAATGGGGGAATGGCTCAGGAGGAATTCCGACTCTCTTGAGGGTAGTAAACCCCCACTCCTTTCTTTCCTGCCTGCCAGCTTTCCTGCCTCCTCCCCTTCCTCCCCCAAACGGAGCCTCTGCCGTAAACAAGCCAGCCAGTGTCGTCTAGCAAACTGTCCTCGGTCCTGTGTGTGTCGGCAGTGCTGTGCGCGGTGCAGCCCACAACAGCCTGTCTCTCTCTGTCCCTCTCGGCACACTGCCCTCCCTGTCTTAAAATAGAGGGGCAGGGTAGAAAGGCCTAAAGTTACAAATGTAGGTGAACACGGGCATGGAAAAAAACGGAGCAGGATGACACTGCAATCTGGCTGAGGGGGGGAAAAAAAAGAACGGGCGGGAGAATGAGAAATCCTCACCAAGTTGTGGGATTTTTCTGTAGACTAAGCATGCTCACACAAGTGTGTTTTTGTGTGTGTGAGTTTGAGTGTGCACTCAGCCTGTCAGGCTGAAAATAAATACAGTCTTGACAGCACTCAATAGGTCAAATACCAGATCTTTTAAAAATAGTATTTGTGTGCAATGTGGAATGATACTTAATTATTACCATTTAACCCAATTTTTCAAACTGTGGTTCAAACGGTTTGAGATTAATCTTTAATATTTTTGCTAAATTACACATTATATAACCAATGACATTTACTCCACATTAGGTTCTAATTAATCTTCGTCTTGAAAAATTCTAAAAGGTTTGTCATTTACAATATCTAATCTATTAGTAGATTGTTGCATGGAATATCTGAAATCTCTGTCCATCTCTCTTATTTCATCAAAAAGGTGTCAAGGAATTATTAAAAAAACAACAACATGATTTTATAGGCTGCTGTGTGTTTGAGATGCAGCAAGAATAGTAAGACATTCTTAAATTGGGCAAAATGCTTTGGTGGCAGTTGGTCACAAGCAGTTTGTGGTTGTCCCTTTCAACTGATCTCTCACAGTGGGGGTTAGCTAGTGCCCAGCATCCAATTCAATATCCGCTATCAGTGTAGACGGGCAGAGGCAGATGATGAAGGCATTTTTCATACATCCAAACAGAACTCTGAGACGGGAAAAACTAAATCCAGTTGGGGAGATCATTAATGGAGTGAAGCATTGGTCTTAAATCTTCCCATACAATCAGTGTTAGGCTTCATAAGGCACTGTACAATTTCTAATCCAAGTTCTTCTGAGCAAAACACATTTATATTTTCAGCTATTTGATTTCCTGACTTTATTTTTAAAGTAACACTCTATACTGTATCCTTTCAGTTTCAAAAACTTTGCATTGTAAGTTTCAAAGGTGGCCATGGTGGAGAACATAAGCACCTTGTATTCATGAACCAAAAGTCTGAATTTTCTTTTCAAAGAAAACTCCCAGAGCATAATCCACCGCTGCACTGTCGACCTGCATGAACAGCGTGTTTTCAACAAACTTTAGCCAAATATGCTACTTCTGGTTGAGTTTCAAAGCTTTGAGAAGTCCAATACGACATCATTAAAGCAGCGTACTGGACCATATTTTGGCAAAGGGGGGGGTGTTTAGAACATACTAAATATGAAGGTGGACAACAAAGAAGCAGATTACGCTTCAAAGGTAGTTTGAGAAGTTTTTATTGGATATTTTATTCCTTAATGTGAATATGTTGCCTTTGAAATCTATTGTACCTGAAAGAAATCAAGCTGTCCACAACTTTTCTAAATCAAGAAAGAAGAACACAACCATTTTTTATACGGCCACCTTTCATGCCTTTTGATACACAAAGATAGATTTTGGGTAGAGTTTCACTTTAATCTCTTCACTTGGAAAAGAGCTGGTTATTTACTCTTCGATGTGCTTTTTTTAAAATTCTTTCTTGATGAAAACACCAAAGGCTTTGAGGTAATTCTCCCACCCTTTGCAGTCATGAGCAGACTGATAGATGAGCATACTTGTTGACTGACTACTGACAGGTGAGTCAGCCTAATGGTGGAGAACAGTTCCTCATCACCGAAAAGACAAACAAATTATACACAACGTATCTCCACCCTGTAACTGACATAAAGGTGACTCACAAGCTCCTAAAGACAGTAATCTTCCTGTTTGAACGGCAGCCTATTGATATATAAAAACAATTAGGATTTGTAATATTTATCTATACATTACTATCCATTTGAATATCTGCAGCACCACTCAAAGTGCCTAAATACATAATAAGTGTATGTACATCTATCTCACTGGACCTCTAGTACAGACCTTGAGTCACTGTCATACCATCAATATGACTACAACCTGCACAACTCCCATTCTGAAATATGTTGCAGTGTAAAACGTTAACTGATCGCAGGTGAATTCATTAGCATGTACGACCTAACATCCAACACAACTTCAATACATGTCGTAGTTTGACAGATTATAGGAAATCTCACATTTCAGTTGCCATAACTCATTCGAACCTATACTGCAATAATCTGTGGTTCAAGGTTCTCTAAAGCAGAGTTGTTTCAATACCGATACCAGTATCAGAAATTCCTCTTACAGGTATTGGAGAGTACTGCTGTTCAGACAACACAAAAGATTTAAAGACACCGCCATCAAAGATTCGACTTCACTTTCTCCGCTTCCATCACAGTCAGTTTTGTGTTTTTTGATCATTTTGAGACTCAGTTTGTGAAGTTTACAGCCCATCTTGCGGTTGCACCTGCATTGTTCGGTGTTCAATGACACTAAATAACAAAAGTGCAGATATTCAACTGACAAAATTCAAGTCGACTTGGGATCTTTTCAGCTGATGTTTCCTATCATTGATTTATTATTTGACAGTTCATAGACCTTTCAATTAATCAGTTAGTAACCACACAGCAAACTTACAGCCTACGAAATGACGATGGATTTAAATCAGGCATCTGTCAGAGTATTTATTGCATAAAGTTAAATCTTGGTGGTCCTGATGTTTCCATTCATACCAGCTAGCTCCCCTTTCACACCAAGCCCCCGTGCTCAGTATGAATGAGGGTACTGAAGAGGAAGAGCTAGTCAGAGCCTTCTGGTGGCCACCGGAGGTGAGCTGACAGACACAGGGGTTGATGAAAGGCACTCCACCCGCTACACAGAGACGCATGCCATTTGACCCTCTACGCTAATGATCCAGCTGCTACATAATCTGCTGGGCCAAGTCGGTGTCTTAATTAGAGAACCTTGGGCTGTGGCAGGAATGATGAAGCGCAACACAGGCAGGCAGTAAGGCGGCCCCCCTGCTGCCGTCATTACCCTGCCAGGCTGTGGGACAGTCAGAGCAGGGACAAGCCCCAGCCTGCTGCTGCCGCATCAGGGAAGTCTGTCTGTGTACATTCACCAACGGGTCTGGGGGTAGACAGAGGAGTACTGAGGAGGCAAGACAGATGAGAAGAAAAGCCAGGGGAGATGAAGCAGTAGGGGAGGGTGTGAAGGGCACCATGGTGCTGGCAACAGGCCTGGCAGAAAGCAGAAAGTGGCAACAGAGCCAGCATCGAAGAGGTCTTAGAGTTCAGGCAATATGATCACGAACCGTAGGGAACAGACTGCGATCTGAAACAAGAAGTGCCACTTTGATCTGGCTCTCAGAAAATGGGGTTCCGTCACTGTCAACGCTGAAAAAAAAAGAAAACTTCTTTCTCTTTCTCTCGACTTTAATTTGTTTTTACAATGGAGCACTGAGACTATTTTCCAAGGCTGAGAGGGAGAAATGGATGGTCAAATTCATTCTCTATTCAACACTCAAAGTTTCTTTATCCTTCAGGGATTAATGGCAGATTTAGTTCTGAATGAGAAATTGAAAGCGTTTTTGAAACATCTTAATTTACCAATTTCTTGACAGGACTTATCAACGTTCCTGCTGCCAACAGAGCACTGACAGCAAATCAGTGATTGTGTTTTGTGTCTCAGCTGCTAAGTCTGAAGTGGCTCAATCAAACTGACAGCATGGTTATTATACATGTGCCAGGCCCTCTTTTCTTCAAGATCCTCCAATGAGGCAACCAACTGAGTAACAACCAAGGATTACTCAACACAACATAGCAGATGATGTCAGCTTCATCATATTAGGCAAGTATGTACCAAGATGCAAGTCAGCAACTGCGTCATAAAATCAGTGCTGTTTTCCATCTCCACTATTGCAAAATTGATGTCTGCACTTAAAAATGCCCCCAACAACGCACGATGCAGGGTTGAATTAATATTTCAAGTGTGATTTGCGACAATAAACTTAACTGCCAACATTTGACAATAACCACCTACTTAATTATTATTCTAATGTAGAAAGTATGGATGATTTATAAATGTATATGTGTTTGTATATCCATAACAGGGCTGCACAATTAATTCAATATTCTTAAAATAGAAATATGATCACAATATCACATAATCGTGAATCGCAATATCTGTCAAAATAATCGCAATATGTTTTTACCATATCGTACAGCCTCAATCTGTAATGGGGTGAGTATACCTCAAAGTGCTTACCATGTGGTTGAACTACTTGCAAAACTAGAAACATTTTTTGTCTCCGATCAGGCAGAAGTTTTATTTTTACCTGTTATCAAGTTACTTTACTTTAAATGTACATTCATTAGCAGTGGTAGGTATGATGGTATGATGTAATTATTTTAACCAGTGATAATTATATCAGTTTTTGTCAGTTTTACTAGGATTTTG